TCCAGCGAGGGCATGAAAATACTTGTCCACATCATCCATATATTCATTACTATCGAAAAGATGAAGGATTTTTTCGACTTAACTCTCCTCTTTTCTTGTAAGGCAATTCCGATATTAGAAATTGCTGTCTGTATCTTTGTGAAGGTACTCATTGAAGAAGAGGATGATGAGGTTGCTGTTGCTTGTGTTCCTCCAGTTACATCAGTGGCAGCACCTCCTCCAGCACCTGCTGGTAATCCATCAAGAGAACTTCGAAAAGATAATCCTCCACTCAATCTTCTCTCCTCCGCTTCTAGAATAATAACATCATCCTTAATTGAATCCCACGTTCCATTTTGTTCAAAGTAATCAACAAATTCTTCAATGAGACTAATCCTCTCTCCTCTACTCAATTTCCTCTCAATGACTTCCAATATTACAATTCTCTTTCCTTCAATACTATTATCCTGTTGTGGTGGAGTAGAAGAGGTAGAAGCTGTATTTGTTGAGTGTTGTTTGTAAGCAGAAAAGTAAGCATAGAGCGCTTCGAGTTGAGAATTATCAAGCCGTTTTAGACATGTTCTCCAAGGCTTGAGGTCTCTTGCAGGTGCAACTTGCATTGTTTTTTTTAAGGTGTGAAAATATACTACGAGGCGTAGTGGGGTTAGTCACAAATAAGGAACTTGAAATTGCCATCGAATCTAATTGGTCTGTTGTAGATAAAATTATGAGCCATTTCAGGAAGTCCAACTGGGCACTTTGCGATTGAGATGCACTTGTGATATTTGTGATTGAGAGGGAATTGAGGAAAGGACAACTTATTTGTCTTGATAGTGGGAGTGGCTTAATATATATCTTTGCACCATTATAACGTACTGAAATTGTTTTTATCCATGTTAAGTAAGGCGAGGGTTATTGTAATGATTTTAGTCATGCTTGGCACAGTTTCTAGCTTTAGTGGTTGGATATGAAGAAACTCTACAATTAGATACATCTATTGAATTGTTGAATGTCGATTTGGAAACTTGTTTCATTACCAATGAACATGTTCATCACGAAACCTAGTGAATCAGCATTAGTAAATCTAAATATTTCGCTTTAAAACAAACAATGCTCTATACTAATATTTTCCTTCGAATACTTATTGAAAAGATAACTATTTTTGTACAAAACTAAATCCACAAGATTTGAATATGTATTCTTTGCAAATAACAAGTGTTTATAAGCGTGCTTAGAGTTTGAAAAAGTAATGTGTGGTGAGTGAAAAAAATTAGTACAATTAAAAAGAAAATGACCTTAGAAAAAGTGAGTATCAGTCAAAATTGTGTGAATGGTTAATAATTAAATATGAGAACGATATGGGTGATATCTGTTCAAATAGTTGGTGCTGTTTGGACTCAATTTATCTTCAGAAAGCTCATTATCAAAATCGCCCTCATCATCATCGTAAGAGAGAGAGCTGTAACTTCCTGAATCTTTGTATCCACCTGGTTGTCCTCCAATATTAGTTGGAGAGGACGAGTAAATCAAGTCAGCATTGCTTGAATTAAATGAGTTTGGAAGAGGGAGAGGAGGTGAGACCATCTTATCTCCATTTGAATTCTTTTCATTTCTCCATTGTTGTAATTGCCATCTCTTCAAAATGTCCTTTTCATATTCAGTTGGAACAAGAAGAGGAAGCATGAGTTGAATTCCCTTTTGCAAGTTCTTTCTCTTGTTGGTTGCTTGTCCCTTACCTTCAATAAAGACATGGAGTGGATATGATGCATAGACATCACTGTCATTGGTTGGATTGCTTTGTACGAGTGGCATTTGTGGAATTGGACTTCCATTGTTCAAGTTCAATCCTCTACCTCTAATTCTAATAAAACAATTGGAATTCTTTCTAATTTGATCTAAATAACTTCCCTTTGGACCTAAAATACGTCCAATAAAGTTGTACTCTGGGAATTCTGCTTGAGGAATGAACAAGAGAACAGTATAGGAATTGACAATCTTTTGCTTAATGTCCACATTCTCATATCTAAGGAAGGTAAACTCATCACTACCACCAATTGAATCAGAGGCAGTTGATGATTGAGTAGAACCAGTTGGGGATGGTGTAGTTGTGCTATTTGGAGTCATGATTGAAGAACCAACATCGAGAGCAGAAATAATCTTACTTGTAGTTCCATCTTGCAACTTTTTAGCTCCAGGAGCTGTTGATGTGCTATTGCTATTATTATTACTTGCCACAACAACAATGCTTGCCTTATTTCCGGAAGGAGTAGTAGAAGTATTATTGGCAGAGTTATTGACAACAATACTATTAGATGATTGTTGTGAATTATTGACTGCAATACTATTATTGTTGGTTGGAATATTCATGGCAGGAGACTGAGGAGGAGGCATGGTTCCATTATTATTAATGTTCAATTGTTGTTGGGAATTTCCCTTGAGAATTTGCAAATTGGCTCCAATAGTTGAGTTTCCACCAGCATTACTAGGACTCTTGAATAGAGAAAAGGAAGCATTGGCAGAAGCTGATAAATTGAATGGAGATTCATCATCAATCAATGAAGATGCACTCACATTTCCACTACTTCCACCATTGTTTGAAGAAGTAGTCAATTGTTGTTGTGCATTTGGAGTAGTGCTAGCAGTAGAATTAGTACTACCAGTACTGCTGCTGTTATTATTTGAAGCAGCAACCAATTCACTCAACAAGGAGGCAGTACCAAGAGTTGGAGTTGGAGTGCTATTAGAATTGATACCACTGTTCAATAGAGTTGGACTTGTAAGAGATGTTGTTTGTTGATTGTAGAGAATGGGTGGTTGGTGAACAACGAGAGAGTTAAGTTTCTTCTTTGGAGGTTGAGCATTTAGGTTAGGAGATGGATTATTCGAAACAGTATTCGATTGTTGTTGTTGAGAAAGAATGGATGAATTTTGATAATATTGAATACGTTCATCTAATAATTTGATAGTGAGTGGAATGATTGGTTGGAAAGGACTCAAACTCTGTCTCTCAAACAACAATTGTTGATACTCCATATAAGAGTTATTATTATTACCACTATTAATTCCACCATTAGTAGATGAATTAATAGTATTATTATTATTATTCATATTATTCATATTATTATTAATCATATTATTATTATTAGTATTATTATTGTTGTTGTTACTATTCATATTATTCAATAAATATGAATAGGAAGCACCAACGCCCACCAAATTATTAGCAGGCATCAAATTGTTATTGTTACTATTATTCATGTTCATATTAGAATTATCAGATACCAAATGATGAATACTTCCCATCAAGTGTGGAGAGGAAGACAATAAAGAAGAAGTAGCAGCACCAGAAGGTGAAGGAGAAGAGGAGAGGTTGTTATTGCCATTACCAAGAATAAGACCTCCAGCTCTTCCTTGTTGAGTGGTGGAAGTGTTGTTACCGGATAGAATACTCAAATCTGCTTGTAACATGTTTAGAGTAGTTGTTGTTGAAAAGTTATTAGAGTTATTGTTGAGTGTTGTTGGTTTAGGTAGAGTTATTGTTGCTGTGATTGGTAAATTGTGAATATTCAACATAAAGTGGTAAAATTCTCAATTTGTAAATTCCAAAGCAAATAGATGTATAAAAAAGATTCAATATAAATATTGTTGTTGGTATCAATCTGAGAGTGAAATAAAAACACAATATCGATGTTGAAAACTGTGTGTTGTGAAAGATAGATTGTTAATGTCCAGTGATGGGTTGTTATGGCGCGCTTTTGATACTACTCTACTCTCGTTGTTGTTCTGTTGGGTATTTTAGTGGTAGCCAAGAGTGTGTTTGTTGCGTGCACGACAACACTATTGAGAGAATAATGTGTGTGAAGGTGTCTTGCCTTTTTGGATAATGGATGCGAAAATGTACAAGGGAAAGACCAACTGGCAAGTGACAGTTTTTTTTTGTGTTAACCTTGCTTGCGGTTTGGGTGAGGGAATATTTTGAAAGTGGCAACGTGCAAAGTTGACTTGAACACAAACTGTGCGATTTTTCACACATTACAATAGATTCGTCTTGGTGTTGTGTTGGATAACAAAATCTACTCGAGTATCGGAAAGAGAATACTTCTGACGGCCACTATTCGAAATTGGTTAATAGAAAACCAAATCAATTTAATACTCACCTGACAACAAAATTTGATAAAAATTAATTTTCGCAACAAAATGTTCAAAAATCAAGTTGAAGAAAGTAGACTAAACTTCTTTTAATTTAATTTTTTAAATGTAAAGAAGCAACCCTGTTCAGCATTATAAACATCCAAGCCAAAGAGAAGGATTCCCTCTCTACTGGTAATTAATCCTTCTAATACAACTCTACTATCCTTCTGCCTTATCAAAATTCCTCGCCAATTCCAACAATCGTCCACCGAGAGATTAAAGGTTTCGAGTTTCGAATTTACCTGGGTAAGATCCTTACTTTCAGGTTGGGTTTCCTGTTTCTTCTTCTTCTTCTTCTTATCTTCAATTCCAAGATGAAAGGATGAAAGTGATATCCAATCTTTTTGAGTTTGTCTGCACATTGTAAGAATTGAAACACATGAAACTGAGAGTGAATCTAAGAATTTCTTCTCGATTGAGGTTTTTGCCTTTTTGGAGAGAATATCCAAGAACCAGAATGGATTTTCATCAGAGAAAGAGACCGAAACTGGGTCTTCAATTCGATTGATACAGTACCAATATTTACAGAATAATTCAGCCAAGTGAATGTTACCAAACTTTTTCTCAAGTAATTCTTGTAAAGTTGTAAGATAATGAGTGAATTCTTCATGAATGATGGAATCCATTCCAGTGGCTAATTGAATAGTTTCGAACTCTGTGCTGTGTCTCAAATTTTGGTGAATGTCAACAGGAATGGCATCTAGAATGATCGAGCTCTCCTCTACATCAATTAAGAATTTCAAATTTCTATCATTCTCTGTGGTTCCATAGAATTGGTGGTGAACCAGTCCATCCTCACTCGACAAGTATGAAATTCTCAACATGAGTCCCTTTTTAACTTCCATAATATTTAAAAGGGTATCAATACACCATGATGTCTCAACAAAGTACAATTTCTTTTCCAAAATTTTCAAATCACTTCTTAATAGTGGATTTTCATATTTTTGACTTTCAACTCGATTCTTTAAAATCATTGGAAAGATGGCATCAAATAGGAATTTGTGTAGGAAGAGTTCTCTGACACTTGCTAATTCTCCTCTATTTCTAAACTTGACTTCAGCATCTAGGAAGCATCTGGCAATATATCTCGTAGTCTTGGAATCGAATTCAGTCTCGAGTTTCTTCAATCCCAAACTATGAATCAGAATGTCGTCATAATTTTCCTTCCATGTCTTGTCTGGAATTTCCTTAAATTTCTCATCATTACAATTTTCCTCATTCACACGATATGAATTCACATCTTGTTGGCGAATCGAATCAAAGCTTTCCAATTGATAATTCAATGAATTGAATGGCGAAAGGACTTTATAATATTTAGTCATTCCGTTGAGCATGCTTCTGTACAATTCTCTCCACAACAATCCATCGTCCTGCATGACAATACATTCAAACCATTCTTTACAAACCAACAAGAATCGAGTCCAATCAGATGAATAAGCTTCAAAGTAAGAAAATACATGTTGAGAAATGATCATTGGATTCACAATTAGCATGAAGGAATTATTGGAATTATTTAGTGATCGTGTGGGCAATGAAAAATCACCTCCGATCTTCTTCAATCTTTCCAGATATTCCTTTCTGATGAAGTATTCAACATCACGGGTCAGTCGTTTGTAGTTTGCCATTTTTTTTGATTAATATATAATTTTTGAAATTGTGTTTTGGAGGTTCTAATTGGAAATTTACCGAGTTACAACAAGTAATTTTAATAGATTTCAATTCAGAATTGAATTTATTAAAGTTTATGGAAGATCTTAATATAGTACTAATTTCTCAGAACAAATTGGCTACAAAGAATGGAACACTCAATAATTGTCTTGTTGAAAGATGTTATTGTAAAGGGCAAAGCTTGGATAGGGTTCTTGTTCAATGATTAAATACACATCTTTCAATAGTTTGAATAATTCTCTCAACATTTGACGATGTTCACACAACTTCGAATAAAAACAAACCAAGGCAACTGGTTTAGATTGAGCCACCTCTTTGATTTCTTTCAATATTGTCTCTATAAAATCCTTATCAAATGTTACAGGTCTAAACAAAATCGCATCAAATATTCCATTGCACATTTCTTTCAATATGGAATGTTGTCCTTGAGAATTTAGAGATGTAAATCTATTTGGAAGGAAAGTACATTGATACATATTGTCTATATTTTTTGATAGGTATAGAACATCATATTCTTTCTTATATTGAGGTTCATCTTGGAAAATGAAACGTAAATTTGGTTTCTTTTGTTTTCTAATGGATCTGGTATCGAGTGGACATATCAGTGATGGATAGACACTTTTCAGATAGTCGAGCGCTTCATAATTGACTTGCATACTTCCTATTTCTCCCACAATATCTATGAGAACTTCTGGGCATTTGACACCTCCTTCTTCAATGAAAATTTTACATAATTCTCCAGGATGAAAGGTACCAGTATCGAATAGAGTTTCTAATGGAGCTTTGAAATAGTCCTCAATATTCAATTTGTTAAATTTCAAATAGGTCATAACAAATCTTGCAACGAATGGCTTCGAGTTCGGAAGTCTACAAACCATATTTTCCAATTGTCTCTTTGAAATGAAATGGCCTCTATTCACTAGCTTACTAGTGAGTTCCCAGTCTTGATAAACCAAAGTTCTTTCCAATATGCTATTATCTGGATTGGTGAAGTTATAATAGCTCTGTATAGCTTGGGATCTGGAAGTATAGGATTGCAATTCTCTCAAGAACCAACATAATTCACAATATCTACCCATCACTAAACTTTCAAGAATTGAATAAAAACCACTATTGGGAACATTTGGAAAGTGAGCTTCTTTGAAATTGCTCAAGTATCTCTCGTTGGTAGTCAAGTAATCTTCTAAAATTTCGTCTGCAACTCGACTATAATAAGAATACTTGTGTGACACAAATTTAAAAGAAGGTTGTTGCAGAGATTCAATTTCAATAACGGTGTAATCATTATTAGCACTCAGTTTGAATGAGAAAACTTCATCTTTTGAGATTAACTTTAAATGCACATCTCTTTTATCACTCTCAGACGCTATTATCATTCTTCTCTTAAAATCCAAATAATGCTCATACAGAATAGGCTCGTAAATTGAGCAATATTCAGTCCACATGAACACTCTATCGATCAAATCCATTTCCTCCACTGGTTTCAGCTCCTTTATATAATTGTTATAGAAGTTTTCACTGTCTACCACTAGATTCCATACCCGACACACCAAATTATATCTAAACAACACAGCAGGTTGAATGGCAAATGAAAATATATTCATCACCACTTCGGGGACTTGTAAACAATTGAATTTGTTTTCTTTTCTCTCATATGGTGCCTTCACATTGTTATGTGTCGAATCTCTCTTCTGATCAATTTCATTCTTTGGCTGTTTGTGTGTTGATTTTTGCTCTTTGTTTTGAGATGATCGTTTGTGTGCTTGCTTCTTTCGAGACATTTTTTAAAGTTCATCTGAAACGGAATCTGTTCGAAATGAGAATCCAAATTGGCAATTATTAAATGAGTTGGAATTATCAGCTGAAACCAATGGAGGACATCAATAGAAATCTTTAAGATTTATTGTGGTTTGATCTTGATAATTCCAACTCTTGGACTGGACAGGATGAGAAAGATTAAACTCAAACCAAGTCCGAAATAGATAATGTACTTGTTGATTTGTTCTGTCTTTTGTTTCTTAATGTCATTCTCGATGGCTTCCTTGATTTCTGTAAAGTGATAGGATGGGTTGGTCTTGTCGAGTAATTGTTCAGCTCTGCTCAGGTTGGCCCTAATTTCACGCACACATTTCTCAACTACAATTGTTGAGAGAGGTAACAGATTTCTCTGGAATGTTCTTGCCTGTGAAATGTCCCACAATCGAGCTTTTTCCTCTTCCTTTAAAAATATATTTTCAAATTCTCTGATGAGATCCATATTGCCACCATTGAGTTTGTGTCGTGAATCATTGAGAGAGGTGGTTGTGAAATAGAGATGAACAGACTCCTGACTTGAATCATGAGACAGAGTTGATAATTCTTGCCCAACAACTAATAATCTTTCCATTTCCAATTTAATATTCACAAATAGAGTCATTCTCTGCTTGTACAAGTTCAACAATTGAGTTTGCAATTTGGTAACTTCCTCATTTTCACTCTGCAATCTTTTTTCAATGGATTGAATATTAAAATCTAAATCTTCCAAACTTTGTTTATATTTTCCAACATTAGCCAATTCCAAACATCTCTTCTCCACCAGTGGAAGTAATAATTTGATATTTCCTTCTGTATTGGCCAATGCAATCTTTTCATTCAAAATTTCGATATTGACATGGGAATTCAATTGTGATAGGAATCGATCCAAATCCTCTGTAATTTTATCTCCGACTATATTCCTCACCAAGACAATATCTTGTTTGGCCTTTTCATAATCTCTCAAAAAGTAAATTTCAATATAAATTCTCTTCAACAATGCATTACATCCGAAAACTAAATTTTCCTCAGTGACAGTAGCACCATTTTCACTCAAAATTGTTGTTGAAATAATTCTATTACATTCCTCCAATTCGGAATCATCAGAAAACTCCAAAATATTCATACTTGTAATAAAACCAAAAGAATTCACCACTTGTTGTTGGGAATTATTCATCATTTGTGATGATGAAATAAATTCCAATGATGAATCATCTTCCGCAGCAACTTCACTTTCTGATGATAATTTCTCTTGTTTTTCTTGTTTTAATAAAATTGATGATGAAAATTCCCGCCATGAAGAATTTATTCCTTCATGATGACGATGGTGATGATGAATAATACTAGTAGCATTTGATGTTTTTAATTGCCAAGTTTTAGAAGCGAAAAATGGTTTGCTTCTCGCAAGTTGAATTGTTTTCATTTTTTTCAAAATTTTAAATTAACACATAAAAGTTTACAATGCTATCAGTATGGCATCTGACATAATTCTTCAGTTGTTGACTGTTTCTCCTTAACAACAATATCTTCCTTAAATCAATATTTTCCTTAAAATCAAAAAAATCGAAAAGTGAACTTGGAAATTTTAAAAAAAATGCTCAAATTTGCCTTCTACTCTGCCAGTACGCCGAAGGAGGAGAAGCCAATTGATGGTCCACATTTTCTTGGCAACTCTGCTAGTCGTTTGAATTTGATCACTGCTCATATACCTCAGATTACTCGGATCAGACACGTTGATTGCAATCCAAACACGATCAGAATTGTAGAGGAGAGCGGCAGAGTATTTGTCATTGAAAAAGATGGTTCCAATAGTAGTAGACACGACAAGTGCACAATACTACAAAACAATACCGATGCTGGATATTTAGTGAAAACCTATGATGAGTTTGATGGTATTAAAAAGAAGGTGTTGGATATATCGTCATACACTGAACAAGTAATTTTTCTTGTTAAACATGTGGAAGAAAAGCAAACTGTATTGTATGGAATGGGAACTAATCAATATAGACAATTGGCTGATAACAGTGTAGTGCGGAGAGAATGTGGAGATGAAAGATTTTCATATTTTCCAATTCCTGTCTTCAATCCTGGTGTTGAACTGGCTTCAGGAGGACAGATCACTCATATTGCTTGTTCATTTTCCTTCTCAACTTGTGTTGTCAACAATACTGACATACACATGACTGGTCAAAATTGGCTTCAAGGAGGTAACGAACATAATTGGCCAGATTTCATTGTCAGAACACATGCTCCAATAATGAAAATGTGTGCTGGTAATTTCCACGTTTGTGCAATAACTCAGGATGGTATTCTTTATACAGGTAAGTGTAATTATTTGAAATGATCTTGTCAATACTGCTGATACCATATTATATTTATTCAAATGATAATAATAATAGGAGGAAGCACATTTAATGGACAATGCATTGAAGAAAAGGAATTAATGGGAAGGATCAATCCAGCTTTTGCATCAACAATTGGATTTGCTGGATCAGATAGTTTACTCTTAAAATCCATCTATGGATTCTATCATTTATATGCTACCAGTAATGATTATTATCCTAAACTGAACAATATTCCAGTGAGCGAAATTGAGGACAAGTACGGTTTGCCTTCATCAAACAAATCATTGAATGTGAGGCAAATCGTCAATCCATTCCCTGTAGAAATTATTTCAATGGAACTGAATAGAGATTATTTGGCATTCCTATTGGACGGAGATATTTTAGTATTGAAGGGAAATGCATACAATTCATCAGGTTTAGTTAATGACCTTTTTGTTGATGTGAAAAAGGAATTCAGCTCACAAGCAGTTACCTACAAAACTGGTCCAAATAGTTTGGTACTTTATCTGGATAGAGCTAATGTGGGTGTTCAAAGATTTTTCAAGAGTTTGTTGAATTGCTCAAGAAAAAACCTCCTCTCTGATATTTCCATAATTCAATAATGTAACATTCAAATGTAATTTATTAAATATTTAATTTATTTGCAAAATGTTGCCAAGTTGGTAGATTTCAATAATCTCTGTACAGAATAGATTCATGCTTGGATGTAATATGCAGTTTCATGGAAGGAGTAATACTTATTGTAAACTCAATTTCATTCAGCTCAATCTCCGCTTCAGCCGCGGTCTTTTTTCCTATCAGTCCTTATTGTCCTCCTCTTTCCCATTCAATAAAAATATTGAAAATTAAGAGAGCTAGTACTTTCCCCAAGTTGCAACACAGTAAGTTGTATAGTTTCGTTTATTATGACGTCCTCAGCATTGAGAAACTACCTCAATGACCTCATTGCGTAACTCCTCAACATTCTCTCCTGAGATTCAAAAGGACCTAAACAGGCTTTCTCCTTCCATGAAACCCATCACCACCTATTTCCATCAACCTTTTTTGATTTTTGTATTATCTTTCTTACGGTTATTATTAGGTTCTTTGTTGATGTCCAGTGTTATTTCAATGTCCACCATCCTCCGCATCAAACTGCATTGAGTTGATCAAAGTCCATCTATCAATTCTATGCATTACTAATTTAAAAAAAACAAGAACAGTATCATTGCGCGAGTTCATCTCACAAGCATCTCTCTCCAATTTCTTCATCTTCTTGTATTTTGAATTTTATAAAACAACAAGGCTTTGAACTTTTTGGTCATTCATTCCAATTGAGATCAAGATACAAAAACGCGAAAATCCAATTTTGCATTCATTCTAATAATAGAGGCAAAACCCAAGTACAAACAATTGCCTCGATTCAATCCATTGACTGAAGAAGTTAGAGAATCACAAGGATCTTCATCTCTCTCACAAAAAAACAATCAAACAACTGAAAAGCATTTTCTCTTAACTGATTCATTTTGCTGCTTTTTTCAAAGTCCACCAACCACCACCAGCAAACCATTACTACAATTATTGAGAATCTTAAACAGGATCGCCTCAATATCATAATTCTTACAAAATAATAATAATACTCTACGTAGAGAGAGACGTGTCTTGCCACTCAAATCAATCTCCACCACCAAACAACGTGTTAGAAAACGTACGCGCAAATCCGCACATTGAAGGACATTGAAACTAGAGCAATATCCGTCGAAAAACTCCTATTCAGTGTCTTTTTTTAAATAATCGAACGAAAAAAAAGTCACTTCTGGAAACTTTGAATCATATTTGATAACTAACCACCTACCTCCTTCATTGTCCTCTTTCTCAATACAGAGTCACATACAACTGCCACACTCTTTACTATTAACAAGATACACAACTATGAATCAACAAGCAGTTTTGAGCATTCAGACAAGTGCAAAGGTTGTGTCAAGCTATGCCAAGAGATTCTCATCCATTAAATTGAACTCACACTCTTCGGGAGCATCACAAAAGTCCAATGCAAGTTTAATATCGTTTAATAAGCATCAAACAAGATGTTTCTCCTCAAATAATCATGAAATGTTTGCAAACTTTGGTACAGGCTCTTCCAATATGTCAAATATGCCATCATTCGTTAAAATTGTTGAGGTTGGTCCAAGAGATGGTCTCCAAAATGAAAAGAAACTTGTCCCAACCAATGTCAAGATTTCCCTAATTGATAAATTAACAGAAGCTGGTTTGCCATCAGTAGAAGTCACCAGTTTTGTGTCACCAGTAAGTATTTGATAGTATTTATGCAATAATCTAACGATTATGAACTTGACCATCACAAAAATATTGCAATTCACTACACGACCTGCATTTCTTTCTTATCGGATGATAATCCTCACTTGATGATTGTGTGACAAAAATGCTGCACTCCTCCATTTGATTATCATCAAATAATTTTTCAATGTCCATAATTCTCATACTGTGATTGTTTGCTTGATAAAATAGAAATGGGTACCACAAATGGGTGATAACTTTGATGTCTTTACAGGTATTAAAAGAAGAGAAGGTACTGCCTATCCAGTTCTCACACCAAACGTAAAAGGTCTAGAACAAGCTCTCGAAGCCGGAGTGAAAGAAGTTGCCATTTTCTTGGCAGCCAGTGATGCCTTCAGTATGAAAAATATTAACTGTACAGTAGAAGAATCCTTCAAAAGATATGACCAAGTTATGGAACTAGCCATCAAAAATGATTTGAAAATTAGAGGATATGTGAGTTGCGTTGCAGGTTGTCCATACTCTGGGTATGTGTCACCGGAGACTGTTGCTCAAGTCAGTTATAGATTATTGAAAATGGGATGTTATGAAGTAAGCTTGGGCGATACCATTGGTGTCGGAACACCAGGTAGTGTTTCAATGCTTCTTCATCAAGTGTGTAAAAAGATTCCAACAGGACAAATTGCAGTCCACTTCCACAATACTTATGGACAAGCTCTCTCGAATATTTTAACATCTTTACAGTTCGGAGTTGAAACTGTAGACTCATCTGTTGCTGGTTTGGGAGGTTGCCCATATGCCAAAGGTGCTTCAGGCAATATCAGTACAGAAGATGTTGTCTATATGTTACACGGAATGGGTATTAATACTGGAGTCGATTTGGACAAACTTATTGATGCAGGAGATTACATTTCAACATACTTGAATCGTGAAAATAACAGCAAAGTTGGTTTGGCTGTCTTGGCAAAGAGAGAATCAATGTCAGAAAGTGCCTCATCATCATCAACAAGTGCTTCATCACCTACACAACAACAAACTAAGAAAGCTCCACAACAACAAGAACAAATAATAGGAGCCACAACCATCACTACCAATGGTGGCAGCAAGCTTTCTACTTGTGTTTAACACCACACTTTAGATGATGAAATTTAACCAAATCGAGCACTGTGACTGTAACAATTCACTACCCATATGAGAACCTTTTTCCTGTAAAATAATATACACAATTGTGAAATAATCAAAACAAACTTTGTAAATATTTTCTCTAATTTGAAATTCATTAAAACACAACAATAAATTGTCTTATTACAATCATTTTCTATTTTACATATTAAATAAATTGTTATCGAACAATAATGTATGTGAAAATATTATTAATATTTCAATATGTTTAATATTTACACAATTATTGTTTTACACTGAAATCTTTTGTAATTGATTTTGAATCTTTCCAAATTCGCTCAAAATATTATCCAAATCCTTCTTTGTCAATTCCACCAAAACTTCTCTCACTTTTTGTTCATTCTCTGATTTGACAAACAAATTCAAAAGTACAATTGGTTCACGAATGTTTGAACACTTATCACTGGCAACGACCAAGTTTAATTTCCAATCAAAGTCTTCAAGATAGGAGTGTGAAATTTCACTAATACATTTATACTTCATTGCTCTAACAAGCTCCGATCTTCTTCCTTCCAATACTCTAACAAAAACTTCAGCTTGTTCAGCAGTAAGCTTACAAGCCAAAAGTTCCTCAACAATACTCTCTCTACTCAAATCCAAAGACATTACTCGGAATATAAAAGCATCCACAGCTGTTAAAATCTTTTGTACAGTTGTAAAATCCACTGATGGTTGTTCTTGAGCTTCGGAAGACAAATATTGCTTCAAATCAACGCTAGGACCATGTCCACAAATTTTATCCACCTCACTATGTAATAATTGTTCATGGAAAATATTTGATGATGATCCGGCAGTGCTGACGGAAAACAACAAGGAAAGCAAGTCGAGTGATGAAGTTTGCACAAAACTCATTTTTTTTAAAAAGATTTTTGTAAATTGATTCAAGAAAATTAATTCAAGGAGTTTTGGGGAGTTGTTTTCAGCTGTTGGTAAGAGTTCAATTGGATTACAGATTACAAGATTTCCTTATGGAAAATTCGCGTTTTTTCCTTAGCAATCTTGTAAATTTCTCCTTAACAAAATCTCATAAGCAGTTCACAAAAAATCTTTCATTTTCACCATGCACTGACTTACTTTACAATCACCACAAGAAATGCAAAACCTAACCACCAAACTTGGCACTCCTAATACCCGAATATAAAAAAAACGCATATTTATTAATAAAAGGTGCATTTTGAAAAAATCAAAAAAAAAACACAACCACTCTTACGAGCTTAAAATACCGAACGCTCTAGGCTTTATTATACCGCAGTAAAAGAAGAGAGAGAAAATTAATAACAAACTTATAACTTGAAGGCTTGTTGTTGAAAAAAGTATGAAAAAGGGAGTTGGTTGAGAAATTTATGAAGAGAGAGAAAATTGGTTTTTTTGAAGAGAAATGAATAACATGACAATGATGGTTGATAAAACAATGGATGGAAAGGAGGACTTTATTTTGGGTGGTAGTATAGCTCTCGGAGAGGGTAGTATGATGAGTAGCACTAGCACTAGTGTAGAGCTGAGTCAATACCATTTAAAAGAGGAACAGCTGAATGCATCTCAACGGTTTCCAGTTTCGTCCATAGATGACGTTGTTTCCGATGCTGCTGGAACTATTTCTTCCATTGATGAATTTGATAATACACGAAATGAAATACAGACAAATTCAAAATTTGAATATTTGGGTAAATTATTTAACAAGATGAATTTTATAGATAAGGGATTGTTTAATGTGACAAATCTTGGAGTTTCATTCTTTTTGATGTTTTGCTCCTATGAGACAACTCAAAACTTTTTGACTACCATTAGAGAGGAGGAAGGATTTGTTGCATTGGCAATATTGTACGCAATGTTTGCATTTGCTAGCTTTTTATCTCCATCTTTTTGTAAGGTTGTTGGTGTAAAAGGTTCATTGCTAATTGCTAGTACAGGATATGTGCTTTTTGTGTTTTCTGCTGCTTTGAATAGTGCTGCCTTACTCTATCTTGCCTCTGGTTATGGTGGATTTTGTGCTGGATTATTGTGGACAGCTCAAGCAAGCATGTTAACCATGTCAGCAACCTATTCACAAAATGTTAGAAGGAGAAAGTTGGAAAAGCAACAAGAATCCAATGAGATTGAACTCAGGGATACCAAGAGTCAGGCTGATAAGAAATCAATGCTAGCAGAAGAAGGCAAGACAAATGAAGAAGGCAATAGTAATAGTGGTGGTAGTGGTGGAGAATTACTGGGTTTCTACAGTGGTATTTTCTTTGCCCTTTTCCAGGCAAATTACATTGGTGGTAATTTGTTGGCTGGTATTTTGCTTAATATGGGAATTTCAAATTCATTGATATTCATTATTTTGGGAATTATTTGCATTTTAGGTTGCTTGACATTGTTTGGATTGAGACCACTCGATAAGAAATACTTGGTTTCCACCAACGAAAACAATGAAACTGAGAATGTATCCGAATTGAAGGGTTTTGAAAAGTTGAAAGAACAAGCAAAGGAATTCTTGTCACTTGTTAAGGGAACTGTATTGGTATTATTTTCTAAAAAGATGATCATCTTTTCCTTTATCAGTATATATTCTGGATATTCACAAGGATTTTTCTATGGCACCTTGCCTCCAATTATTGGTAAACTCATGGTAGGATGGGTTATGATTCTGTTTGGTATTGTTCAAGTAATTGCTGCCCTTTTATCAGGAAAATTGAATGACATGGTTGGAAAACGAATTAGTATGGTGATGGGATTGATCATTCACGCAATAGCCATTGCCCTTTCATTCCAAATGATTTATTGGGGTCATATTTACAAACCAAATGGTACTGAAGGAGTCCCATTTGAGGTCTTGCTGATACACTTTGTAACTATGGGATTATTTGCTGCAGGTGATGCCTTCTTAACCAATTCAATTTATTCCATCCTTGGTAGTAAGAATTACTACAAGAAGAAAAATACCTCTGAGGCCTTCTCTGGTTTTAGATTTATTCAGGCAAATAGTTCAGCAGTTGGATTTATTATTCCTACCTTTACACCAATAATTGCAATTCAATCATTAATGGTTGGAACATTCTTATTGTGTATAGTGGCATTTCTTGTCTTGGATGTGTTTATTGCATCAGTGGATAAGGATAAGAAGAAGGGTCCAAAAGGCAGCAAAAAAGCAGCCAAAGATCAAGATACCAGTAGAGATAGCATTGAACTCGTAAATAATCCAAACAATACTAGCATTGATACTATTAATGCTAGTGAAGCCTCTGTTTAATTAAATTGCAAACACTGTGAAATAAGGAAACTATAAAGTTGATTCAAATGAAATCTTTGTTGTTTATATTTATAAGTATTCAGTAGACGACTGATCTTCTTTGAAATTTTTTATCACACGAAGGTTGAATGTAAAGCTTTTTAAAACCATCATCATTTGTGGGTTTTGTTTCAGGTTTCATTTCTGTAACTACTTCTTGTGGAATGAGAATAGTTTCATTGGTGAATGGCTCCACTTTTTCTATCCATTCACTTTCGTCATGAACAGAATTTTCTATACCAAATACATCCCCAAGTGATTTTTCAAATGAAGCTCTATCCACCAGAATTGATTCATCCTCTTTCGAATAGGAACTTCCAATAATCCTATTATTATAGCTTCCAACTAGTAAATGATTTGGGTCTGTCGGCAATACTTCCTCTTGTGGAAATTGTTTTCTTGGTGTGCTTAATGTGGATGACAATCTTTTGGAACTCAAATATTCCACCAAGTGAAATTGATCTCGTATTGCATGTCCATCCTCAGTGTACAATGATTTCAATTCAAAGAGAGAACCTTCCATTAATTCAATTAATTTCGAATTTTTAAATTCATCCTCAATCCTAGAATAGAGACTCTCCAATGGAATATTTCTGTCAATTGAGAAAATTCTAGACTCATCAGTGCCAGTGGAAATTACCTTAATAATGAGATGATCTTCATTCACAAGTGGCATGTACAAATCCTTCACACTAACATGTTGGTGCTGGAGTGTCGATGGAAGAATCTTTTCATTGATTGGATTTGATGCAAGGAGATTAATACTCGATCTCCTCTTCATCAAGGTTCGTTTCCTATTGAAATCGATCAAATTATTAAAGAATCGTTGTTGATGATCGTGATTCTTCATTTTCATTTCCTTAAATAAATGTTGAGAGGGATCTTTTGAAAGGATTGATCCCATCGAAGTAGACGTACTACTATTCACCGATAGGAGACACATCAAATCCAATCCTACAATATTCTTCTTTTCAATTCGTTTACAATAAATTTCCAAATCCTGATCTTCATAGTTACAGAAATGAGATATAAAAACTATAACGTGTCGACTAGTCCATTTGGGTATTGGTAATGGATAGAACCATTCTCTTAGATCAGTATTCAGCGGATCTAGACCTAGAAACTGAGAGGCCTCTGCATCACTGTGATGATGGTGCGAATGTTGTTCTTCACTTTCCTCAGTTGGTCTCCTCCTCAAAATTACATCCACAAGTGATCTTCTCTTCTTCTTCTTTGACATGACATAATCTCCAACAAAATTTTCATTAGCAGTTCCTTCCAGAATGTCCACATTCTGACAAAACAATTTGTACATTTGCTCTGAAGTCAATTCTTGAATTTTCTTCTTTACAAAATTTTCAAAATCATCCGTATTCTTATACGAATCAAAACATTCCAAACGAATCTGATTCATAATATTATTCATCAAATCCCTGAATGGATACCATTTCAATTGAGCAAATAATTCATGTTTCAATAACTCATCCAAATCCTCACTGAAATTAATTTGTGAGCTCAACGTTTCCAAAGTACATTCGTCTGATATTAAAATCTTTTTCAGTTTTTCCAAATCCTTATCATGCATCTTGTGATCCTTCTCAAAAAGGAGATAATTACAAAATCTATTAATTGTATCCAGAATTTCATGATCTTCCATTGTAGCAGTTGTATGTGGAGATTTGTTAAATATTCGTGTGAAGGTCGAGTAATCCTTCTTTGATTTCTCTAGGATGGCACTTGTTGTATTGAGCATTATTCCACCACTTACAACATTTCCTAATAAGTAATGTCTATGTATGGTATCTATTATTGTAATGAGTTGAGAAACAAGTGAACTGAGAGCTGTTTCTTCATTCTCAGTACTATTGGCTGTTCCAATAGTGGTAGTAGTACTCTTCCTCAAATTTTCATGATTTGTCAATTTTAATTCATATAAAAACATTCGAATAACCTTTCTAATACTTTCTCTCATCTGAAACATTTCATTCACGAATACTATATTCTCATCATTCTCCCTCAATCGTAAATAATGCATCAAATCGGCCCTCGCCTGACCATTCATCATGAATGCCTGAAAATTTGTAAATTTGTTATTCACCATCATCATGTTATTCGAAACATTATTCGAATTATTACTCATCAATATTTCAATCGGATAATGATGATTAACACCAATACTAATTGTTTTTCTATTTTCATGAATACTATCAATCTCCGAGTTTCGAATAGTTGAAGATGTAGAGGAATTAATAGGATGATGAGTGTTGGAGGAATGAATTTCCAACGGATTGTGATGAATTGAATAACTCATTATCCAACAATATTGAATACTGTTGTTTAGTTTGAATTGATTTTGTATGAGTTTAGTCTAATTTCTTGCAGTAGAAGAAGAAAACGGTTCAGAGCCTATTGGATTTCGGCTTTTTTTGTGTTGATGGAAGTTGAAAATTGGTGATGAAAGTTTGCTTTTTTGGCCAAAATGTTTAATTGGATAGAACGAGATGAATTTCATGTAGAAAAAGATTTGGAAAAAATCATGATATTTTATTTGAACGGCCAACGAGCAGAGTAAAGCTAATTTGTTTCATGTAAAAGCATTTTCATAAATATTGGATTGAAGAAAATTATAAATGGAAACTATAAAATTTGCCGACACCAGGGATCGAACCAGGGACCTTAAGATCTTCAGTCTTACGCTCTCCCAACTGAGCTATGTCGGCTTCATGTTAAACATTAACAAAATTAATACATAATACTATCCTGTAATAATTACTTGTTCCTATTGTTACAACCAAGTTCCAACTAAGTTCCCTGCAACCGAACAACAACAACTCGAAAAAATACAAAAAAAATGCACGAACTCATTTTCCTTCATGTTGGTGGCGCTGGTTCTCAGATTGGTTTGGAATTGTGGGAATTGTTGGCGAGAGAGCACATGGTTGGACCTGATGGAAAGATGCAACTCTCTGAGGTGGATAGTATTGAAAATAATAATATTGGATCGGTTTTTGATGAAAATTCGGAGGGTGTTTTCTCATCGAGAAGTTTGTTTGTTGATTCGGATCCTGAGGTTTTGGATTCATTGGGAGTTTCCTCTTCACCCTATTCAAAAATACATAAGAAGGATAATTTAATAAGAGGAAAGGAAAGTGCTGCATCGATTTATTCGAGGGGAAAATATTGGATGTACAAAGAAAAGAGTGATGATATCGAGAATAGATTGAGAAAATTATTGGAGAGATGTGATTCGCCACAGGGAGTCATGATGACACATTCATTGTCTGGAGGAACAGGATCTGGATGGGCTGAATCATTATGTACAAAATTGGCGAATGAAACGAAAATTTCAACAGTATGTTTTTGATACTATTTGCAAAATTACTGAATTTTCAAAGAGTACCTTTTCAGTCTTGCCATGTTCTAAATATGCCAATGAGGTAGTGGCCTCCTATAATGTATTACTCTCAATTTCTGCAATTAGAGAAGCAGTGGATGCAAGCTTTTTCTTTGATAACACATCACTGTATAATTTAAGCAAAATGCATGGCTTGGAAAATCCACAATATAAGGATATTAACTTTCTCATAGCTCAAGCAATTTCCAGTCTTACATCTAGTCAACGATTTGGAATACGTAGTGGAAAATCAATGAAATCAATTTATGAACATTTGGTACCATTCAAAAGAGTCAACTTTATTTCGAATCACTTTTCGGATTTCACAGAAATTGGAAAATATAATCCTTCTGAATTAGTATCTGCTTCGAATAGAATGAATAATATTGACCTTGCATCAGGTAAAACACTTGCCTTAAATGTTTCTTGGAGAGGTTCAGGATACTCTTTGAGAAATATTATTGATACGAGCTCATATTTCCGATCTCCTGATGCTTCTTCAATATTTAGCAAATATGTCCAAACTAGTATCAGCTCTTCACTCTCTAAAACTCCAATCATTAATAATGATCCTTTCAAATTTTCCAATACTGCTCATGTTGCACATAATACGACTGCCATCATGAATACCTTTATTGAAATACAAAAGGCATACATGCCAAGTTATACCAAACGAGCTTTTTGCCACTGGTTTGTGGGAGAAGGAATGGAATCAGAAGAATTTCCAATGGTACTATTTAACTTTGATGAGATGAAATCTGATTATGATGAGCTAGATGAAAATGCTCAAGCCAACACTGATGAAGAATCAGAGGATTAAAATAACATGAAATTTTATCTATTACATATTCTTATTCTTTTACTCGTCTTGCTTCTTTCACTGCCAGTAATAAGGGAACTGGTTGGAATTATTTCATGTTCAATACATTTACACTAATTTTACTAATTTACAAATGGAGAGAAGATTCCAACACTCATAGAGAATCCTTTGTAATAATCAGAATCAGAACTGGATCCACCCAAAACCACAAATCTTCCACTCTTTGGTAAATAGGTCAATGTATGTCCATAAACTCTGATTGGAGCCTCTTCTGGATCTTTCTTCAAAAGACATTCATCATTCAATAGATTAGTCCACTTTCTAGTTTCCAAATCAAAGACAGAGAATTGATCAGTGTGAATGGAACTCTCAATCCAATGCACCTCCATAAACAACCAATAATCTATTCTGCAATAATAGAGAACGATGATACAATGTTGGTTCAGGAACATAGGAATTGGTTTGTGGAATAATCTCTTCCCAGTAACTAAACTCATTGAAGAATTTGGTTTCATCTGGGAGAACAATGTGAAGCATCCACAATGAATTGTGAGTGGAATTTTCCTGATCGTAACCACCATAGAGAATCATCTTGTTTGTTCCCTCAATGAGATGACATGAATGGCCAGTAAGGGCAGGAGGTCCTCTTTCCTGTTGTTTAATTCTCAGTTTCGTCCACGATCCACTCTCAACATTCAATGCATAGACATCCTTATGTTTCATTCCCAAATCATCATCTTCAAAAAAGCTACTTCCACCATAAGAGATGCAATAACCATTGTAATAAACCAATGAGTGACTTTCCATTGGAGGTGGAACATCTCCCGATTGATTAAGTTTGGTAAATTTGAAATCATTTTCACTAAATTCAATAATCCAAGTATCTCTCAAATTTGGACAATTGTCCAAAGTATAATTACAATATCCACCAGTTACAAGAAACTTGTTTTCAGAAATTAAAACCATTGGATGGAAAGATCTACCCATCATGATACTCTCATCTAAAACATCTTTATCACTAGTTCTATTCTCAACCTTTCTTTCAACTGTCTTTTTATCAATATCTACAACAAACAATTCATTACAATGTCTATCTCCACAAAATCCACCAAATACCAAAATTTTAGATTCATCATCGAGACTGACTGCTGAATGTCCTCTTCTCATCAAGATATTTTCCAATTGATAGGATTGATATCCACCATATTCATCATCATCATCATCACCAGCATCATCCTGGTTTGTAATTTCCTTGATTTCTTTAGAGGAATAGGAAAAATCATTATTAGCATGCAATTCACAATAGGTAAAGACACGAGAAAAGACATATTCACGTAGCAATTGATTCCATTGTTTACTGACTGTATTCCATAGAAAACTATCTTGAAGAGTTGAATAGGACAAAATGGTACCAACAAGTTCGGTTGGAAGATCCTTTAGTTGAGACATTTTTTTTGAGATGTTTTTGTTTTATACAAGTTCATACTTAGTATTTTGTAAACAAGGTTCATTCAAACAATTGACTTTAACCCTTAGCTATTATGACTTTTATTACCAGCGTAAAAAAATTGAAGATGAGTTGAAGACGCAGGGGTACACGTTCCTTGTTGTTGAATGGTAATCTCTATTTAATTAAAATTTGCCATGTTTCAAAATATTAATATTAGCAACTCAATAAATTTACAAAAGAGAATGTTTTTTTAATAATTTATGATACATTTAAAATTCGAAATCTTCATGAGTTTCAGCAATTTCATCATAGGTTTGCTTCAACTTGGCATTAGCAACGATTTGCTTGTTGTACATATCAGTGAATTGAGCAGAATCTTCAATACCTGGAATAGATCTGACAGCGTGGACAGCCTTCAATGTACTCTTCAACAATTCGTCGAATCTTTCCTTTTCTTGTTGCAAAGCATTTTCCTTAAGCTTCTTCTTCAAAGTATTAGTGAATGGAACAACAAGTTGATCAGCAGAAGTCAACAATGATCTTGGGAATTGGACGCAACACTTTTGAACAATCAAGTGAGTCAACATCTTGATATCATCATTTTCATCATCCAAACCAGCTGGTAATTGAGCAATGAATTTGTTTGGATCAATTCTTGATCTATAGTTATCCAAAACAGTATCCATACATTCGAAAGCAGACTTTCTCAAATCCAAACCGTCATCAATCTTGTGAGTGAATGGACCCAAGTGAATAATACGAACAAGATTGGCATCAAAGACACATTCAGCATAGAGAGATGGTAAGACCTTTTCTAAACTATCATTCAAAATTTCTGGCTTATTGTGAGCAGCACTATTCAACAAGAGAACAACAGCACGTCTAACACTAACTGGTTGTTGCTTGTTCAATTGTTGTAAGAAGATTGGGAGATCAGCTCTCAACATGTCATCAATTGGTGAAGCTTCATCAGTAATAGCATACTTAATAGCACCAATAACAGTTGACTTGGTGGCATCTGATTGATTCAACTTTTCCTTGAGTTGAGAAACAACATTATTGTAGTCATTGACAGCAAGCTTACCCAAACATTCAGAAACAACATTTCTAACACCTTCTTCTTCTTCTTGAGAGTTATCGAACAACAATGGAGTAATTTCAGGAATGAATTCCTTAAGCTTGTTAGCATCAGCTTGAGTAATAACTTCCTTCAAAGAGTGGATCAACAAGTACTTCTTCTTTGGACTTTCTCTAATACCCTTAATGATTTGTGGTAAGAACTTGGCCAAATTACCAACAGAAATATTACCAAGAGCATATGAAGCAGCATTCTTCAATTCTTCAGAACCTTCTTCTTCGAAACAAGCTTCAATATCTTGACTAACAGTACCAGATGAAGATAAATCAATAGTACGACCAATTTCACCCAAAGTGAACAAGGCCAACATTCTAGCAGAATCATCCTTTGACTTTAAATCCTTAGCAAACTTTTCAATAGTTGAAGTCTTATTTGATTGAGAACCAGCAGAACAGATGGCAGCAACAGCCTTACCAATATTAGTGAAAACTTGCTTAGATTCCTTTGGAATAGCCAAAACTTGTTTCAAAATGTTATCAAAACCAACTGATGAAACCAACATAGCCAAAACAACCAAGAGAGATTCTAAACAGTTACCTTGCAAAGTTGGACTTGCCAACAATTCCAAAATCTTTGGCAAAACGAACTTTTGAATCAAAGATAAAGTTGATGGATTAGCATCAACAATTTGTTTAACTAACTTGAAAGCCAAATGAGCCAAATGCAAGTCAGACTTCTTTTCATTCATAACTTCAGCAGCTTCTTCAATAACAGTACTGAACAAACCAGAATCAATCTTAGCACTGTATGAAACAGAGAATTGACTCAAACCAGCCAAAGCAGCTTGTCTAAGAGCACGGTTATCCTTTCTCAAGAAATCAGAGAATAACTTGACAGTTTCAACCAAAACAGATGAAATATCAACCTTATGTTGAGCAATAACAGTGAAAGTTCTAACAGTGGTGAGACGAGTAATTTCGTTTTGTAATCTTTCCTTTAAAATATTTAAAGTATCCTTCAAGTTTGGTAACTTGTCAGCCAAGTGAGAAACAATTAAACCAGTTGTAGTAATAGCACTTTCTTTAACACCTTGATCAATATCTTGAATCTTCAACTTTTCATAAACGTTATTTTGTAATTGAGTAACAAGAGAACCATAATTAGAATCACTTGAACAAGTCTTGACAACCAAAACCAATTCACCGCAAACTCTTAAAGCTTGAGTGATAATCTTGTAATACTTATCATTAACACAATTGAAAACAGCCTTCATTAAAGTTTCCAAATGTGGTTTAAATTCTTCTGGCTTGTGGAATTGAATGAAAGTCTTCAAGAATGATAAAGTTTCTAATTTCAATGAAGATTGTTCTCCCTTTTCAGCTAAAGCGGAACAAACAGAAGGAACTAAATCCTTAATATATTTAGACAAACCACCTTGCATAGTGACAACCAAAGACTTTAAAATTTGGAAAACACCAACTTTAGTCTTTTCTGACTTTTCTTTCAATTGCTTCTTAATACGTTTCATGATAGCATCCTTTGTTTGTTCAACAAATTTAACTTCATCATGTTGCTTGTATGAAACTTCACCACTTGGAGAAGTCTTTGTAGAGTATGATTGATGCAACAAATCAATGAAAACATTGAAAATATCAAGTTTAACTGGTTCTTCTCTTTCCTTGAAACGACGAATCAATGAAATATCTTCTTCAGAACACAATTCAGTATAGAAAGATGCCAATAATTCTGGTCTAGATCTAATCAATGAACCTAAACATTTAGCAGCAGATCTACGAACTTTCCATGTAACATCATCATCTTCAGATAAACCACCTTCATCAAGATCATCTCCCAAACCATCTTCATCATCATCATCTTGCATTACATCAGCTTCTTCAGCTTCATCTTCACTATCATCATATGAATAGTTTGGATCATATTCGAGGTATTCCTTACAAATAATAATGACGTAATCAACATATCTGGCAACTTCATCTGGACATCTTGTAACAAAGGCTTCGAAAGCTTGAGTAATATATTCACGAACTTCATCATTAATTTCAGTATTAGTATCAACCATTTCTTCATCATCTTCATCCAAAGATCCTGCAATAATTTCAGCAGCATCCATGAACAATGGAATAATTCTAGCCAAATATTTACCAAATCTGTGACCAGCAGTCTTTGAAATAGCACTACAAGATTGAATATAAGTAGAAAGTTCTTCAACTTTGCTATTATCCTTTTGCTTCTTCATTGTCTTGATAACATTATCAATACCATTGACAACACTTGTCAACAAGGCATCAAATAATTTATCACTAGTATGAACTGACAAGGCAGCAAGACAAGCAATAGCTCTTTTACGAACGGAAACTCTGCTTGATTTTAATTCGGCAGAGAAGGCACTTTGTAACTTTTCATGTTCATCAGCAACCATAGCGCCGAAACGAGCCAATAAATCAGACAAAACATCAAGAGCAACCAACTTGATTTCTGGATTATCACTTGAAAGACCTTGGAGGAGTGGTGTAATACATTTCTTGATAGGAGCTTGAGCATTTTCCATTGGAATTTCAGAAATGACAGTCTTTAAAGCAATAGCAGCAATGTCTCTCTTTTCATCTTCACCCTTGAGAATATTGCTACTAAGTGATGAAATACTGTTTTCAATTTGAACCTTGCTCATCTTGTTAACAAGGTGAGGCAAACTATATAAGATCAAAAAGTATTATTGTTGTTGTTGTTATCATCACGAGGAATCACAATTAAATTGTGAATCGCACAATGTTGATGATCAATGTAGAGATTTGTTGTATTAATCACATAGAATGTGATAAAACANATATTACATAATTGATGGAAGAGAGAGTTAAAAATATTTCAAGTGATCAATAATGATAATAATT